GGAACACGTTCTTCGCAGCCACACACGATCCAAGGCCTGCAGGCAAACTTGCATTACAACATCAAACCTGGCCGGGGTGGTCAACGCAGCACAGGCCATTGTTCAGATCCAGGGCTGCGTTACTCGACAAGTTTTACTTAGGTCTGGTCTAGTCTCACTGTTGAGGTTGGGGTCTGAGAAACTGAGTTGCTAATTGACAAGGAAGAAGACATACGTGTCCTTCGATGCCCTCGAAGATCTCGTGGCCCAAGAGATGCGCAGGCAGTGCAGAGGAAGCCTCTTTATACCTAGGCAAGTTTTTCGTAAGTTTATTGTTGGCTGGTCAGGGATCTGACAGCCCAGGCAAGCTGGAGCGCTTGGCTGCGCGGCAACGACAAAAACAAAGGACGGCAAGGACAGGGAAGGGAAGGCAAGAAAAATGAAAGTGCCAAATGAAAAGCCCTGCAAAAGAAAAGCCCAGCCCCGCCCCACCCTCCCCAGCCCCGGCCCGTCCCACCTGGCCTGCTCCAGTCAAGCAGCTGCGGCCTGGGCAATGTGGAAGGGGAGGCAAGGCGTGGAGAAGACAGGGCTACAAAAAAAAGAGGCAAGGACAATGACAAGGGAAAGGGCACGGCGGAGAACAAGAACAAGATAAGGACAAGGGCAATATGGAGAAGGAAAAGGATTTGGGAAACAACAGGGAAAGGGGCGGAAAGGAAAGACAAGAGAAGGACAGGGAAGCAATGCGGTGAAAAGAGCAATCATGGCAAGAAAGAACAAAGAGGAAAGGACTGTGAAGGAACAGCATGATAAAACCCAGAGAAGATATGGGAAGAGCAAAGAAAGGAAAGGACAAGGACAGGAAGGGCAGGAAATGAGAAGAGAAGGGAAGGGAAGGGGCCAAGGAAAGGTAAGGACATGAGAAACCAAGTAAAAGCAAAAGGACAGGAAAGGGAAGAAAGGGCGAGCAAAGGACAGGACACCGCAAGCCAAGGAAAGAACATGACATGACAAGAGGAGAGAAAAGATAGGACCGGAAGAAAAGGCAAGGAAAGGAAAGGAAAGAAAGCCCGTCCCATCCCCTCTGGCCTGGCACCTGTCAGGCCGCTGCAGCCTAAGCAGTGCAAAAGCAAGTGGGGATATTGGGAGAACAAAAAGCTGCAAAACCTGGCACCTGCATGCCTACCTAATTGGCGCACTGCGCATTGCTGGGGTTTTTCTTGCAGGGAAGAGTTCTCCTCAAGCGGCGGCAGATTGCGCCAAAAGAAACTGTGGCCCCTTGGTGTCCATTCAAGATTGGGGCCCGCTTACTTTGCCATTTGCAAGCTGCGAAAATGCCACGCTGCCTCTCTCACGCATACATCACCATTCGCCAGAAGGGCTCAGGAATGGAATCATTCGACACCTGCCAGTGTGAAAATTGACAACTCGGCTGGCTGCATGTTGTGAAAACACGCAAGCCTGCAGCTGCTAAGTGGCATCTAAAGGAGGCAGGCCAGCAGGACTGTAGAGCCAGGCTCAGACAGAACAACCATGCGGTCCAAGACCCACTTGCCCACTTGCCTTGGACACCCCAAACTGCCAAGCTCCATGCTGCCAACTAAGAGTGCCAAGCAGCATGAAGGATGGCTGCTTGATGCTGTCCACCCTCTGATTGAACCAGTTTGGGTAGAGCCAGGTCTGGTTATCCCCAGAATAGTCCCAGCGGCGCACCAGAAAGGACCAGGCGACCTATGCCCAACCCTCCTGTCCTGCACAACTCCTTGCAAGGACCTTTTAAAGGACCTTTTAAAGGCCCAAAGGAACTGGCCCTTGGAGTGAACAAACCAGCTCCAAGTCTGACCAGGCAGCCAGCTTGCCTTAACGCACACACAACTCACATTCAGGCCAGCAGGCCAGCAGCCTCAAGCTCATTGTGAAAATGGTGACTGCAGGCATGGACCCAGTGTACTTCTCAGCCTGCAAGTGCAGGCGCAAACCTTCTCTGCTCCTGGGAGCATTGGTCTCGTGGCCTGCAGGCCTGCGTGCCGGGCTTGCAGAGCACGTTGAGGCCCTGCAAGCCTCAGCCAACACAAATTAGTGCCTGCAAACTTTCTGATGATTCGCGGTGTGGCTATCTCAGACAAAGCACAACAAAGTCTTGTGAAACACAGCGCTCTTGTTGGCCAATCCCCAAAAGCACCTTATTGAAGGGCTCACCACTCACCGTTTTCCATGTTTGCCACAAAATTTGAACTTTCCCTGCATATGTTCATGTGTTTATAGAAAACATGCATTTTTTCATTGGTTTTACTGGTTTTTAAGGCCGTGGGCCAGGGTGTTCTAGGAACTGTGGGTTGCAAGACGGGCCCCTTTGTAAGACAATTCCAAGACACTTCAAAACACATTTTTGTTAAAAAAAAAACAGGTGCCCAGGCTGGCCAGTTCTAGCGGGCTGCTCACGCAGGTGAGGAGGCCTGGGGACAGGCCTTGCGACCCATCCCACCAGATCCTAAAAGCTCAAGAGCAGGTGGCATGGGAGGCCAAGTACTTCTATGACACGGACCTGGGCTTGGAGCAGCCGCTGCGAGCTTTGCATGGTAGTGACGCGCCGCTTCGTCTGGGACCTGTGCAAGGCGCTTGTTTCTGCGTTTTCCCAAGTGCTGGTTCCCATCGCAGTGTTGCAGAAGCCTCTGAAGGTAAATCCCCCAAAGCCCGCACAAACTGGTGTTTAACTTTACCTTTGCCTGTGTTTAAGTTACCTTGCCTCCACCTTGCACACTGTCCCTCTTCCTCTTCTTCTTCCTCCTCCCCTTCTTCCCCCTCTTCTCTCCTGTCCTCTTCTTCTCTCTCGGGCGGGTTGCGACGCCCTAAATGCGCAATCTTTCTCTCTTGCTCTCTTTCTCTTTTCTCTGTTCAGTTGTTTTCGGTTTTCTTTTGTCTCTTTTTTTCTCTCCTTTTCGTTCTCTCTTTTCTTTTCTTTTCTTTGCTTTTCATTTCTTTTCTTTCTTTTCTTTCTTCTCTCCCTCCTTTTCTCTCTTTCCTTGTTCTTCGCGCTACCTCGTGTTCTTCCTCTTCGCCCGTTTAGGGATGGCCTACTCTTCTTCTGGCTGTTCACCTTCGCGGCGTTCGTCGTCTTCGAGGTTTAGGTCGGTTTTTGCGCTGTTTAGGGTTGTTGCCCTCGTCGGAGACCCTAAACCTGGTTCCCTTGTTTTTCTTGTTTCTTGTTTGGGGTTTTGCCCGCGGATTCCCGACTTGGGGCCTTTCTGTTTTCTTTTGTTTTCGCTTGCTCTGTTTCGTTTTCTGTTGGGGTCTTCGCCCCTGCGGGGGCGTGTGTGTGCCGAGTTCCAGATTCACCCTGGAACCACCTCGTGCGGGGGGATCAGGCTTCCAGTGACTGACCTGATCCAACGAAGCTAGGTCACTGGAAGGGAGGTGGCTGGGGACGCTCAGCTATGTACCTGCATCGAGTCGCTCTTGGGCCCCGTCGTGGGCAGCTGGAGGACTCGCCCCAACAAGGTCCCCTCTTTGCCCGCGGAAACCGCCACTCGAACCAAACCCAGTCGACCAAGTTGTACTCGAAGAACCCAGCCGACAAGTTGTACTCGAAGATAAGCAACCTCCCTTGGGAGATCAAGTGTGTGTGTGGTGTGTGTGTTGTGTGTGTGTGTGTGTTGTGTGTGTGTGTGGTGTGTGTGTGTGGTGTGTGTGTGTGGTGTGTGTGTGTGTGGTGTGTGTGGTGTGTGTGGTGTGTGTGTGTGTGCCGAGTTCCAGATTCACCCTGGAACCACCTAGTGCGGGGGGATCAGGCTTCCAGGGACTGACCTCATCATACCTGATCCAACGAAGCTAGGTCACTGGAAGGGAGGTGGCTGGGGACGCTCAGCTATGTACCTGCATCGAGTCGCTCTTGGGCCCCGTCGTGGGCAGCTGGAGGACTCGCCCCAACAAGGTCCCCTCTTTGCCCGCGGAAACCGCCACTCGAACCAAACCCAGTCGACCAAGTTGTACTCGAAGAACCCAGCCGACAAGTTGTACTCGAAGATAAGCAACCTCCCTTGGGAGATCAAGTGTGTGTGTGTGGTGTGTGTGTTGTGTGTGTGTGTTGTGTGTGTGTGGTGTGTGTGTGTGGTGTGTGTGTGGTGTGTGTGTGTGTGTGGTGTGTGTGTGTGGTGTGTGTGGTGTGTGGTGTGTGTGTGTGGTGTGTGTTGTGTATTATGTGTGTTGTGTGTTGTGTTTGTTGTGTGTGTGTGTCGTGTGTGTCGTGTGTGTTGTGTGTGTGTTGTGTGTGCGTGTTGTGTTTGTTGTGTGTGTTGTGTGTGTTGTGTGTGTGTTGTGTGTGTGTGTTGTGTGTGTGTGTCGTGTGTGTCGTGTGTGTTGTGTGTGTGTGTTGTGTGTGCGTTGTGTGTTGTGTGTGTGTGTTGCGTGTGTGTTGTGTGTGTGTGTTGTCTGTGTTGTGTGTGTGTGTTGTTTATGTGTGTTGTTTGTGTGTGTGTTGTGTGTGTGTGTTGTGTGTGTGTTGTGTGTATTGTGTGTGTTGTGTGTGTTGTTTGTGTGTGTGTTGTTTGTGTGTGTGTGTTGTTTGTGTGTGTGGTGTGTGTGTGTGTTGTGTGTGTTGCGTGTGTTGCGTGTCTTGCGTGTGTTGCGTGTGTTGCGTGTGTTGCGTGCGTGTTGCGTGCGTTGCGTGTGTGTTGCGTGTGTTGCGTGTGTTGCGTGTGTTGTGTGTGTTGCGTGTGTTGCGTGTGTTGCGTGTGTTGTGTGTGTGTGTTGTGTGTGTGTGTTGTGTGTGTGTTGTGTGTGTGTTGTGTGTGTGTGTTGTGTGTGTGTTGTGTGTTCATTGTGTGTGTGTGTTGTGTGTGTTGTGTGTTGTGGTGTGTGTGTGTGGGTGCGTGCGTGCGTGCGTGCGTGCGTGCGTGCGTGCGTGCGTGCGTGCGTGCGTGCGTGCGCGTGTGCGTGTGTATTGCATTCATTTCGTTTGCCTTGGAACAGCTAGACGGATGTGTCCTCCTCGAAAAAGGAGACCCATCCCCCCCCCAACCAAGGTCTGACATGGACTCGGGCAAGGCTTGGGACTCTCAGACTCTGCGTGGGGAGGGAATGAGGCGCACATGTGGAAGATAAACATGAATATATCATATTTGTATGTACATATATATATTCACATATATATATAATTACAGACATACATAGTTACATTATGTTACGTGACGTTCCATCACATTACATCACATTGCGTTGCGTTGCATTACATTGTATTACAATGCATCACATACAAAAATACATACATACATACATGCATACGTACGTACGTACATACATACATACATACATTGTACATACACAGACAGACAGACAGACAGACAGACAGACAGACAGACAGACAGACAGACAGACAGACAGACAGACAGACAGACAGACAGACAGACACATACATACATACATATATATATATATATATATTTATATACACATATGGAGATGCAGGTCCGCAACGCCTGCTTGTTTCGAACGGTCAGTTGATTTCTTCCAAGGCGGCACGCAACAAAACTGCCCAAAGGCGTGCCGCTGTGCGATGGTCAGAATCAGCTTCCTCTTGAGCCCAGTAGCATCACTTGGAGCAGGCCTTGTTCGTCTTTATGAGTTCACACATGCGAGCCAAAAGGCATCCATGGGTTCCACTGGTTTAGGTGGGTTTTATGATATCCATTTACAGGGAACCATGTGTTTTTTTTCAAAAAGTCACCTATGATTGGAGGCCCGTTTTCCCACCACGGGGGAGGCCCGTTTTCGCGCGCTGACAAGTCGGGTGTCAGGTCCACATCCTTCAGCCCGAGACCGGCAAGGCGGAGCCTTTGCGGACCCTGGAGGTGCGCCGTTGGGGTGCAGACATCTCCAGATCTGGCGGATGTGGGCGTCCAAAAGGGCCAGGTTGGGTGTATCCCTTTTTAAGAGGGTCCTCTCATCCTGGACTAAAAGCTTTTCAGGAAGACCATCTTAGCTTGACCATTTTTTGAGGGGGTCCTCTCATGGACTCTATGCCTTTTAGGAAGACCATCTTCGTCTTGAACACAAAGTGACAACAATTTTTGGCCCAGCCACTCAGGAAGTGGGTGCTGCGGTGTTCCCCCCTTGTTTTGCAGTGAAAGGGAAATCCAAAGCAAGACAAAGATTTGTTGGGACCCCTATTTTGTGAAACACCTATCTTCTTGATTTGTGTGATCCCCAGCTCCTTGAGGGCAGATACTGTTCACGTGGTTCCTTTGAATGTAGCACTGCAAAACATGAAACGCGTGGCCCCCCTCAGTTCAGGAGTGAGGTTCATTGAGAAAATGCTGCTCGTGAAATGCTTTCATTGAGAAAACACTCCCAGGTCTCAGCCATCAGAAAAGGGGCGACCCCACTCTGGATACGTGCACACACAACGCCTGGCCAGATGCGAACAGACAGGATAAGCTTACACAAACACATGTGTGTTCCCCACTTCTTCTCCTTGCTTGTTTACTTGAAACTTAGGGCTAAGAAGTAGGGTTTGCGTCAGGATTTGGGCTTAGGGTTTGGGCTTAGGGTTTCGGGTTAAGGCTTGTGTACGGTTCGTTTTTGAGAGCTCACGGTTTGCCGTCCGTGGGTTGGTTTTTCAGCTCTTGATGCAGCTATGAATCTTGAAGCATATGGGTCTGTCTTTTTACTTTGTAAAACCACAAAAGAGGGCTACCATAAAAACAAGACACACCCACATGAATGATGGTTAGGAATGAGTTGAAGGGAGACCAAAAGTCATCCGCGAAAGGAATCTAAAAAAGAAGCTGAGAGGAGACCAGAGGGTTCACCAAAAAGGCTAGGCGGGTAGCGCCTTTCGGAGCAAAAATTGACACCCGAAACGCGGAAATCGCCGTGTTGTTCGGTTCGACGATGTCTCAAGACTCAAGAAGGGCATGCCAAAGTTGAGGCAGGATGGTTTCCCCACATTGCCTGCCATTGTCGGGTGTGCCCACGGGTGGGTTTTTCTGTTGGTTTCCCTTCAAACAACCCCAAAGGGGAGGCTTCCCCTTGCCCCAAAAGCGGGTTTCTGTCCAACCAACAGCGCGGGTTGGCGTTTCCCTCAAACTCGGCCCCCGAGTTTCCCACCCATGAGGTGCACCTGGAGCCGTGCCACGCCATCAGGCGGGAGAGAGACTTCAAAATCCCACAGAAGGAATCTGGCAGAATCATCCTCACCTTGGGAAACACCTTGTGACCGGGGGCCCACGAGTCCTAGTAGTTTCTCGAAAGCATCTCAAAAAAAAATCGTTTGTTTCTGACCCGTTACTTGCTTGGTTGGCCTTTTAGGGTGGGGCCAACAACTTTGGCCAATTTCCCCTCTGTACTGTGAACCCGCCAGCAGCTCACCTCCGAAGCGGTCGGATGAAAGGACCCCCCCGCAGTTTCTGACTTGGATGCCCCCAGAAACCGTCATCATAATTCCCCTCCGCACCCCGCAGCCCGGGTGATTGTCTCCAGTAAGACTAAACTTGCGGCTGATGTTCCCTTTCCTTGGATGCTGTAGATCCCGCAGCAAGAAGTTGTTACTTTTGGGAGGTTAAGAGGACATTTGATGGGTAGCCAAAACGTGAAAGTCTAAAGGTCCAACCCAATAGCAGTAGAGTTTCGGAGCTGCAAATCAGTGAGCCGCTCGTTGGAAAGGACACATCCCAGGATTCAACTTGGGCTGCGCAAAGCGCCATTGTAGATTGTCGTGGTCTCCGAAGGGATCATGGAGTACTTCCATTTTCTGAAGAATATTTTATTTTTTCCCTGTTGGTGTTAAAAGGAATCTACCACTATTGGACATGTTTTCAATATTTTTTCCAGGGGCTTAAGCAAATGGGAGAGTAGGATTGGCCAACCCGTTGTGCCTTGAAGTGAACCTGAGGGGTCGCTTCTTGGGACCAGTCTGGCTACGTCCAGTTGGTGTCATGGTCAGAAGAGAAGATCACAACCGACTAGGGGTTTACGGGGACGGTCGCATGCAAAAATGGGGATGGTTTCCATGTTTCCCCTTTTTGGGTGCTGTCTCAAAGGTGAACCACACAAATCAAGACCCATTCTGGTTTCAAATTGGGCCAAAGCCTTTTTTTGAGGTAACCACCCGTCCATGGCATGCACAAATAAATGTGTACCTGTAGACACATGTGATGAATTTACCTGTGTATTCGATATAACTAGCTATCGTTGTATGTGTGTGTGTGTGTGTTTACTTTTTATTCATGCATTCGTGTAGTGTCAGCTATGTGCTGTGTGGTTTTGCGTATGCTTTATTTGTGTATTCCCTTATTTGCGCATTCGTGCTGAGCATCGGTGGCTTCATCTTGATTTCCAAACAGAAAATAAGGGCTGCAGATGGAACATCGTATAAGGGGCTAAATGGGTGTGTCTCTTTTTCGGGCGCCCCAAAATGGTGGTGTTCCCTTGCGTTTCCCTTTGAGACCACAAGAAAGGGGTACCCTCAAAAAAAGGCTCAGCCAACAAATTACGTACACGCATGATTGCTCTATGACTTTTGACTCAATTGAGTGTTCAAGTACTCTGGAGCCCCAATCTAATTATTGAGCCCCTTACCGGTATATCTTGTTGCCCGGCAACGAGATCTGCTCAGGGAAAACTTGAGAGTTCGGAAAGAATGACATGTTATGAGTGAACCGATCAACATTTTGGAACTCCGAAGCGTCAATGTAAAGAAAAGGAAGAACAAACCTAGGTCCCCCAGTAGTGCCCTTCTCTCCCCTTTTTCGGGGGAGGGTTCCCCTACTGAAATAGATTACAGAGAAAAGGGCACCCTTATTATACCCTCTCTACTGGAGGACCTAGAAACACATGCTCGTCTCACAGGAGTTGCTGTTCGATAAGCCACTTTAAGGGCACAAGTTGCTCCGGCTCGGATGGGCACAACCATGGTGGTAGAACCAACAGAAGAGTGAACCACAACCGGACATAATCTTTGGTGCATGCTGCTTGGATGTTAGGACTTCAACTTTTTGGGAAATCAAGCGGTGTTCCACTAAACCCCAAAAAAATTAAACTTTTTGCAGGGGGTCAACAGCAACCAAGTTTGCCAAGGGATGTTAGGACTTTAACTTGTTGATCCAACTTTATTGGGTTTTCCGCATTAAACCGCTGAAAGTTGAACACTTTTGGCAGGGGAGCAGAAAGCAACCGAACAATGTACCCCGTACCCCCAGTGACCATCTCAATCCCCAATAAAATAGACTAAAATGGGTGGTGCACCTATCCCAAAATGGTACCATTGGTTTTGAACCAAGGCCGCAAAAAGTCGGTCGCAGGTCGGTTGTAGATCTGGTAGAGCCATTGTGGTGTTGGGTGCATTCCAGTCATTGCTGGCCTGAGAAGACCTGGCAAGCAGATGGCTATGACTATGACTGGTGACAGGGCTCCTTAAAAGATACATTTTGCCCGTTTGAAACATGGCTTCTTCCACCAAAATAAAGGGAAATCACAATTTACAAGGCAATGTTCAGGTGTATAATGTAAGGATCCCTGTACTTGGACATGGCTTCAAGAATGGTAATTGGGTGGGCACAATCCAAATGCAAATGATATCCACCAGAGGTTCTCCCATTAAAATGCGTACTCAGAATTATTCCCGAAGTTGTGGGAGTCACCACCAGCATCCGCAGTGCGTTTGTGTTCTTGCCGAGGTACAACCCGCTGATTCACGCCTGTGTCAGCGCAGACAAATCTGGAGCCTGGCTCCCAAAATGGGAGGTGGAAAGATGTCCACCAACCCCTAGAGACCCTGAAGCAGAAATGTGGGGGCACTTCCGGCTTGTTACTGACCCCTCATTGACTTCCACTTGCTGAAGTGAAGATGTTTGGGCTTTTTCCCTGTTGGTTTTAAAGGAAATCTATCTCGAATCTCTACTGGATGTTTTTCCGGCCGTATCCGCAAATGGAGGCTTACCCCTTTACTCCCAATTTTGGTGAAACCTTTCAGAGGAACATGTGGAACCGGTGGCAAAGTCAGCCGCAATGTGTATGTAAGAAACATGTCTTCTGACCTCATCCCAAAGTAACTGTCCAGGTTTGACATATGGCTCAGATGCCCAAAGCCAACCTTGTGACCTTTGGTTCCCCCCTTTGGTCCGTTTTTAGTGGCCCTGAAAGGTTAACCTCCTATTTCTGTGGTTTTTTTTGGCAAGTGAGATGGATGTGTGTTGTTGTTGAGGTGCCTTTGTTCTTGGTGGTGTTCGTTTGGGGGCCGCCCAAAAAAGAAGACGAGCCGCCCGTTTCTTTTTCAAGTGACTGAGTCGGATCCAGAGCCGACAGGACATGGCTGCAGGAGCTAGAGCCATGGACATGTCACGGAGGATGCGAAAACTGGCATCCCACTCTTTCCCAGAGGGTCCAAGTACCTTCCAAGGAGGTACTTAGACCCCTTTTTAACCCCCCAGAAGCCATCCTCAGGAGGTACTTGGACCCTCTCAGATTGTTGTTAATAAGGGGAATCCCCATTTCAGTGGGGATTCCTGCCTCCAGGGGGACATCCGTGATTAAAGACAGTCTTGGTATTCATCAGGGGTGAACATTCGACTTGAACCCAGAGGTGTTTGATTTCCCCAGGGAACGGTTGGGTTTAAGCCTCCCTTGCGTTAGTCACAAAATGGAATACGTTGCACAGAATCCCCTAGAGAGACGCAAAACACGCGGGTCTAGTTGAGCTTGTGAGTGACTATTTCAAGGTGGCCGTCGTTTCCGAATCATCGCAGAGGCAAGACATTAAACTCATTCGCGAACGAGGCTCCTTCACATCTACTCTGGGCTTTGTATCGCTTTCGGCTGAGGGACAATCATTGACAGTGTTTAGTGTTTACTACAAATTCGAGGAGGCCTTGCATTCACACAAATCATCATATTCAAAAGCCAGCTGCTTAAAGGCTGGCACGCAATCGATGGCTTGCGGACCCCGTCCTTGCAAGATATTGCGACTCGATTTCCGGAGCAGAGTAAAGCTGCGTAAAGTGGGACGTGTTTTCATCCCTTTGCGTGGGCGCCACTTGAGCGCCCAGATTGCAACGTGCAAAACCGTCAGCCCGTCCCACAAAGCCGATCCAAGATGCCAATGTCCATTCAGTGTCCAGACAGAGAAACCAACACACCCAACCAACCAACCAACCAACACGTCCAACCAAGCAAGCAAGCAATCAACCAACCAACCAAGCAACCAATCAACCAACCAACCAAGCAAGCAAGCAACCAACCAAGCAAGCAAGCAACCAAGCAAGCAACCAACCAACCAACCAAGCAAGCAACCAAATCAACCAACCAACCAACCAACCAACGAACCAACCAACCAAGCAAGCAAGCAAGCAACCAAGCAAGCAAGCAAGCAAGCAACCAAGCAAGCAAGCAACCAAATCAACCAACCAACCAACCAACCAACCAACCAACCAACCAACCAACCAACCAACCAACCAACCAACCAACCAACCAACCAAGCAACCAAGCAACCAAGCAACCAAGCAACCAAGCAACCAAGCAAGGAAGCAAGCAAGCAAGCAAGCAAGCAAGCAAGCAACAACAGTCTTCTTGCTCCCTCGTGATTCTGTGCAAACTTATCCAGCAAAATTAGGCCCTGGAGCTGTGGGACCCGGACACGCTGGAGATGCCCAGCAAGCAGAACCGGCCTGGCAGGCGTGCCGGTGGTTTGAAGCGATGAAAGCAAGTCGCCGGCGCCATCTACGCGGTTGCTGGGTCAAGCTGTTGCTGTTTTTGTTGGTTTGTTGAGTTCACGTCTGATTTAGTTGTGTTTTTGTGTTTGTTTGGTTGTTTTTGGTTTTGTTTGGGGTTTTGAGTTCTGTTCATTTTTAGGTTGGGGGGCTGCGAAAAGTAAAGTTGTTTGCACCTGGGCGAAGGGTGGGGGACAGGCCCAAGCCGATCACGCCCTTTGGACTCTTTGAATGGTTGTGGAAAAAACACGTTGGCACCGGTCTTTGACGCTGGGTCGCTTCCGCGCGCGGAAAGAGCCTGTTTCAGGAAGGGACTGGAAGCTGGGCGCAAGTCACGCTTGCTGAAACCAATTGTAGTCAACCGGTTTGTCCCCGCTTACCCGGTCAAGCATGTCGAAAGTACCTGCTGTTCAAGCATGAATGTGTGTACAGTTTACATATAAGGACCGCCG